CATTTCACTTTTTTCTTTCTCTTTCTTTTTCTCCTATTAAAAAAAGCCACTGATGATGAAGAAGCTAAGATACTAATATTCTGATATTCAGTTCTGCTTTCTACTGGAGTGGCACAAAAAAAGAGCTGATTCTAGGTTATCAAGAACAGACAACATCAAGAGCCAAACCCAAACCCTTAGACGTGCATTTGATACACAGCTGAGTCCTGCAGTAGCAGAAATGTAGCACATGCATGACAAAAAACAATAATAAATGCACGTCGATCTCTAGATGGAATCCCAGCCAATCTGAGATAGTGGTTTTTGCATGTTAGTGGTATCACACGCAGACAACCTGGCCTCATGGCTCCCAATGCAGGTTATCTTTAAACAACCAGAGAAACAGCTGTGCAACCTCAGCCTCAGGCCTCTTTAATCCCACAGATGAAGCCTGGAGAGCCTGCTGTCACTTTCATTTAGACAGAAGGATAACAAAAATGGGATGAGGCCATAGGTTATACCCACAAAACCAGACAAAATAGACATTTTTAACCTGAAAGCCTCATGAACGGATAAATAAAGTCAGGGATTTTCTGCAAAATTGCTTGAATCTTCCATAAATACTTCTATTTTAAGGCTTTTATCTGCGACATAATCTTTGAGCAAACGTGTCACCTTTTGGGGGAAAAGGGGGGGGGGGTGGAATACTGTTGCAATTTAATCCAATATACAGTTCTGTTGTGGCTGAAGCCTCGAGGTTACCGCCAGTCCAGATAAGTAGAACTTTCCAGGTCTAATTCTGCAAAAATCACAAATCTTTTCCAACCAGGGACCAAACAAAACAAAGAGTTTATGTTTGACCAAAAGCAGAAATCTCACCTTTAACAGCTGCAAGAATTGCCACAAAGGAAAAGAACGAGGGGAGAGGAAAGTCGAGCATCATGCTGATAAAGTTGCAGCGTCTGATCACGCACTCTGCTCGGAGTTCCAGTGCGCACCGAACTCTGGTGACTGTGAGCGCACACGCAGCTGCACACAGATCATTACACCGCTTGCTGTCTGGTTAGGTTTGCTTCCTCTTATTGCAGAGGATGAAGTGWGAAAAATACAATCCCTGTTTACTTCTTTATCCACTTTAAAAATACCCTTCACGTGGGGTGGGAAAAATTAGAAAAAAGTTTCAAATGTGACGTCTCTTTCTTCCAAAAGATGAGCGAATTCTTTCTTCAACCCCCTGTGGGAGTGCAGCTGGTGGTTGACACAACAGGACAGCATCAGGCACGACTCTTCCCATGATGGGAAATCAGTAAACATGTGCAGTCGGTCAGATTAAGCTGACCCACGTGGGTCTAAATCGCCGGTATAAGGGGGGCTGAGGGGGGAGCCTTGGGCAAATGAAATGCTCACAAGGTCACAGATCAGTGATTTCTCCATGCTGTCTTAAATAAAGATTGTGTGTAGAGCAATAGCCAAAACAATAAATAAATTAATGTAATTTTATTTTGATGAAAAATGTTTATTTATACGGTGCCAAGTCAGAAAAAACATCATCTCAGGGCACTGTACAAAAAACAACGTAATCTAAGGAAGCTAGCAGCTTGCTTTGCATCACTTCATCACAGTCTCCTGAGCAGCACGGTGGTGACAGTGGAGAGGAAAAACTCCCTTTTTAACAGGAAGAAACCTCCAGCAGAACCAGGCTCAGGATGGGCAGGCGTCTGCCTCGATCGGCTGGGTTTGAGCGGACTGGAAACAGATACAGAGACACAGAAGGACTGGTCCAGGTGTATTTTCTTCTGGAAGAGGGACAAAGTAAAAGATATGTTATTGATATAAAWTGCAACAAACYTAAAGGAGAGCYACTAAAGACGGCATCAGAGTGAAGAAATGTTTGTCCTCCAGCAGTCWAAGTCTATAGCAGCAGAAAAACTAWACCATAATCAAATGTTACCTTAAATTATGAAAATGCTGTGTATATAAAAAAAAAACTGACTTTGCATCAGCCTATCTAAACAATTTGAAATTGGCCTCTGTCTCTTTACCATTTCTGACACTCCCACTTCAGCACATCTTCACAACAAGGTTAGGGTAGGGGTGCTTTGTGTTTGAAGCCTGAATAGACAAAATGTGACCCATCATATTGAAATGAGGATTAAGACTAAAAGTGGTATATGGAGAAATAGGCAGATAGTGTTTTGATTAAAATGTCAAAATATAACAAATAAATGCCTTATCAATGTATCATTTGAATGAAGTGTCTGAAGTATAATCCTAAAACAAAATTTTGAAGCTTTTTTTTCGAGTAGTAGCAACAAAAAAATGATTTTGAGGGAAAACACCTTAAACTTTTGAGATTTTCCCCGTGAGCTAGCAAAGTTTTTGTTTCTTCCCAGCTGGGAAATCTCAATATTCAAATCATATTTGAGGATTTCTCTCTATAATGGCATTAAAAAGTCCTCATTAAAATGACGTACAATTAGGATTCAGACCAAATATTAATGTATCATCTTAACCAAAAAGACAAATTAGGTCATATCTCTGGATCCGCGTAATATCAGCATAATCCAGGTGTCAAAAGGCACCTTTTAGAGCCATGAATCTGAAACTGTGATCAGGTCATTTTACCCATATTTGACTTAATCCTCATTTCGATATGATGTGGTCACTAATACGATGACTTATTAATCGTCTTGAGGTAGTTTATTTGTAAAGTTGGGGAATTTGCATAGGAACATTTTASGTTTCAGTGCTGGCATTTAAAGCAACTTGGTTAATAAGGTTGGTCAGATGTTTCCTCACTTCTCTGCTCTCCAGCATCCCCCTAAATGCTCGTTCTTTGAACAAACAGCTCCRGTAATACGACAATTAAACCCAGTGCACCCTGTGCCTGTTTCATTACATGGTGGAGTGCCAGGATGGCATCATTAAGGATGCGAGCATCACCGGTGAGTAAACAGTTTCCCACTTGACTGCAGAGGCTAATTGGTGTAAATATGTGACCAAAGTGAGATATTAAGGGATCTCTAAACACTCGTAAAGTTTTGAAGAACTTACTGACTACATTGTTAAGCTGGATTTGATTGTAGAGACTGTTAGCGTGCCAGTGTGTGTTTCATGGACTGCATTTTTAAGCCATTGAATTTTAATTTGGGTAGTTTGTCTGCGATTTTTGGCTCCGAGTCACAATTAAAGCTGACAGTGGCAGCGGCCACTGACAGCTGACTCTGGGAACGCCTCCAGATCTCAGTTGTTGTTCCAGATTTGCAACCTGCTGCGGTGCTATTAGAGATGATGGAGGGACTCGGTTTGTGTGGCTCCAGCAGTGGGATGTAAAACACTGCTGCCAGTTGGCTTAAAGGTTTTTGCAGGTCATTTGATGTGGAGCAACATGGGTCAAGAGCCCAAATCCTGTGAATATTTATGAAATTAAATAGAAAGCTGTGACTCACGGAGCAGTTAAAARAGATTAATAAATTACCTCGCTGACTACTGGTGAAAGCCAAAARTCAGTCTGAGAGTCAGGAAATGCACTGTAAAACCTCCGTTTGTAAATGTACATTCATTTACTCACAGCGTCATTGCCAAGTCATAGTAGAGGGCCATGTATTACTGGAAACAAATTAAAAAAAAATACTATTTTACTGTAAATTTTCAGCCTGGAGCTGGTGTTTTTACATTTTTCAAGTACMTAAACTTCCTTTCAGTTTACAGTTTGTACTCCATGTTTAAATGAATAAAAATGCTAATGTAATACTAATAATCATAATTTAAAATGCCAAAAAATGACGTTTTTTAAATTAGCTACAGCGGGTA